ATCAGGCTTATCTGACGCCGACAGCAACTAAAACATGCTATTTATCACCTAATCTATTATATATATCAAAGCACTTGCTTTTTCTTTTTTTCACCAGCAGATAGATATTAATGATTGATACATTGAAGGTTATCGAATTTGTTGCATGTTGAAAGGATATACATCTTTTCATTCGGAAGTGCAAATAAACAAGATTTACTGACTGTTTAACAGACATTTGAACTAAAGAAGAAAACACGCTCGATGGTGATATTCAAACATGCAATTCTGTAGCTGATATGTTTATTTATTGCAAGTTAACTCAAATGTTCAAATACCATGTATAAACAGATCACATTTAATAAAGCAGCAGTACTCTTAGCTTTATGAAGACTCAACATCTTTTTGAACGATATTTTCAATTGCCTGGTTTAGTGTTCTTGTTCTGCATCTAACATACTTTCCTTCAAAACATGTCTTTTTAACTTAGAAATGATACAGTGTATAAGATTGAAATGAAAGCATCCGAAAGGAAAATTTAGATTTTGCAATCAAAATAATGGTTAGAAACACTCCCGACATTTAAGATTAAAACAAACATGCATTTCACTATTCATATTGTAAAAGGACTTCAAACGTCCAAATATCTGATGTTCTAATAGATGTTTTGAGTGTTTAAAAAAATGCCAGGAAATGATTTTTGGAGATTATAAAGTGCTGTTCTTGGTATGTTCATTTATTTCAAAGACATTAAACAAAATATTCGTGATTTCACATTTTTTTTTGTCGATTTTGCAGATAATTTACCGTAGTATTGAATAAAACTGATACCTATCAGTATCTCAAGACCATTATTTCAATTAAAGGATGGCACTTTTATCTAACATTATCTTGTCATCATCAACAAAAGATATAAATCATTGTCAAATAATCTGTATCTTTGTATCGTATGTGCTCTTCACATATGTATAGATCTTTCGACTCTGCGCATCCTCATGATAACAATATCAATAAAAGGAGAAGTGGATACATGTATATGTTATCAATACAAAAAAAAAATCAAAATACACTAAGAGCTCAAAATACGGCCTTCAGCAAAAGATATGTGTATACTAGACGTCAAGCTCTTTATCACTCATAGTCTTGACATGATATGAACACATTGAACAATGAAACTCATAGATCTGCCACCAAGCGAGACCATGATAAAAAATATTATCATCTTAATCATTACACGCTTATAAACATTTATAGACAGTTGACGAATTTGACAAAGACGCAACACAGCAAAGAATCTTTATATCCCGAATCAAAAAAGTTAAAAAAAGCCGAAGTAAAGTACGAAGTTGAAAAGCATTGAGAACCCAAAATTCCGAAAGGTTTTTCCCAAATACAGATAAGGTAATCTATTATTTATTTTTGCTGAAAAAAAAATCTATGTATCGTAACAGTTTAAGCGTTTTCTTGATTCTAAACAGTGTTGTCTCAAATGGCACATCCTTGAGACACAAAGTTATTACGTCTTGATAAATCGAGATGATCTTTTTTTTTCAATTACCAAATTTAATTATTAAGTATCTGTAACAGCAACTATCCAAAGTAGCATCTGATTTAAGCCTCAGCTCAATTTAATAAATTCTTTGGGATTTTTGCAGGTTTGCTTTGGTCGTAACAATGCAATTCGAGTTGCAATACAATATTATTTTAACCAATATTTTCAGGTTACAGCATCATACGAACACAATTAAAAATCAGTAGGAGGTACGTATCATAAAATATTATTGTTTTTTCAATAAATGCCAAATGCACAGCTTATAGTGTACTTAGCTGTAATTGTTTTGATGGGCATAAAATGATGAAATAAGATAATTTGAAACCTCTTTTTATGTCGTATAAGGTAATTACTATCCGCTTACTTTTGATTACAGAACTAGTGTTAGATGTAAAAATCGAATTGTCGCCCGGAAAACATCTGCCGTCTCTTTTATTTTGTTTTTAACTTTCATTAATTATTAAATACTCACATATTAAGTTCATGACAATAATGTTAATTCAGCTTATGAATGTCGGCGGTAGATAGGAGATATACACAATGTCATACGTTTTACATACATGTAGTAAAGACTAAACGTAATAGACCGGAAATGATTTCAGTTATGACGTCATAAATTACGGGTTTGGAATTGGGTTCTAAACACGCGTTAAGAGACACAAAGAGCCAACAGTGTTCATGGTTTGAATACAAATTATATAAAGAGTCAAGTTGGACAATGAGTTCAAGTCCGCTCACATTGAACTGTTAATTCCTGTCACGTTGTGGATGACGTCTTTTCCGGTTCAGATTCATTTATTGTATCGAATTCGGCAAGACCTCACTTGAGCACTTCTTCTACATACTTTTTTATATATTTAGTTTTTAAAAAATACCAACGACACACTCTCAAAGACACAGACATTTAACACAGGATATCACGTCCGCAGCAGAAGCAACAATATACCTACCTCGAGATCACATCATAAGTACTTATCGGTCATTTTTCTCTATTCTTTATACTTTTTTGCCCACATGCCAGTTCCGGGATACGGTGGTTAGTTGAATCTGTCATGTGACTTCCATCACCACGTGACCAAAATGTAGGCATCGTCACTTCCAACACATGTTGAGCGAACGGATGAAAAAGTTTTATCTTATACGAAATATTTGGGAAATTAAAATATAATAAATTGGTCACCCTCCCTACAGTCGTACGGGAAGTAAGATTACGTACTTACAGAATATAAATTATTTCTAGACTACCCTGCAGAATGAATTTCTAAAAGATGCTGGAAACTTGAATAGAGCAGAGATACAGGCGCTCGTTCTATCTGGTAAATGACGTCATAAAGGCGTGCGAAATTGACGATATTTCCCGGTAAAAAACACGATTCGAGAAATGGCCTATAATTCTTCATTCTTTATATTTTAGCACCTCATTATTCTTTATTCTTTAATTTTTTGGTTCATTTTTCTCTATTCTTTATATTTTTTACCCAGTATTCTCTATTCTGAAAACCACAATCCACACCCTCAGCATTGTGCAAATTGTCGGATGATAGAAAATTTGAAGTATGGGTTACTAGTAAGCAAAATATAGAAATTGTTATTGTTACTGAATATACCGATTAATGGTTTGCTGCTTGCAAAATCCCATTTGTCCAGGACAAAAAAGAGACTGACGATAGTATGCGTACAATCAAGAATAATGTAACGTGTAAACCCGAGCGATCAAATGGTTTCGTACCGAAATAGACAAATTCTAGTTTCCAAAGTGTATCCCGAAATATCAATCAGAATCGTTATTTGCAAGTCACTCCAATATTAAACAATGATAACCAAAACACATATATATAACTATGACACAAGAAACACTTGCAAGCGCACTATAAAACGGTTGACTTATACCACAGCCAAGTAGAATTTAGATAACAAACACACTTTTCAAATATATCTTTGCACAGCACAATGAAAGAAAAACAAGTCAAACGGCACTGTCAATCTGCACAGCACAATGGAACAAAACAAGTCAACGGCACTATCAATTTGCACTATCTGTCAAATAGATCACTAGGTAGCAAAATGAACACAATAGCCTATAATCACTTTAATACAACAATAACAGAATACTCCAACTTTGCGAAATGAATTATTTATACTATACACTATTCAAATCAATTAACCCAACTATACCAAATAAAGTAGCAAATTGAACACTATATATTTTCACTGTCAAATAGCTATCACTTATTTATTCCCTGGATATATTATTAGAATTCCGAATCTTAGAATTATTACTAATAATCCACACTTCACTTGGAATTCACTATTTTAATCCAAAGAACAAACTATACTCACTATTCACTATATATAAATATATCCGTAAAGAATGGTCTATACACTGACACTGAACTGCTCTCTCTGCGGTCTTATATACTACCTAAATGGACGAGTCCAAGTCCCAATTTAAGGGTTGTCAAGAAGGTATACTTATCACATGACTGTTAACAAGTCTATTATCAATAAAAGGGGTGTTTCAGTACTTAACAAAGTGTGCTCCTTATTTAGGAGGAACTAAATGTAACAAATGAACAGTTTGGCATGCTTTAACCCTTTTCACTCCCCGGAATTATTGTATACCATAACAAAACAGGTATTTTCGTTACATTACCCACGCCTCAAAAAACCATGCGTCCTCGCATGAGTCCTTGAATACATCTGACATGCTGAGAAATCATCTATCAAAGTGGTCATTTTTCATACCCAAACGCTACCATAGTGCAGCCAGGCACTATTTCCATTGGACATATATACATCAAGACAAAGCCTTTTCCCGCTTTGCCACTTCACAAAACCAAAACAACTTTGGTTAGATTCTGACCATATATATCTTCAACTTTATATATATCTTCTGACCACAACGTCAGGCACCATTACATCCGACAATAATGTCAGGCTACCCTTTTGTCCATCAGGTCTAAACTGATGACATCACAAGGCACAACCCGTAGATACAAAGTCTACCTATATGTCCAAATTCCAGTCAGCCATATCAAACATATTGAACTTTCTTCTTATGCACAAACGCTATTCACAGGATTTCTCTTTTTGTCCGAATAAAACTTTTTAAAACTTCCTACTTCAAAATATCCCTGTTTCTAACATTAACCTCTTTCCTATTAACGTCTGTAATTTTGAGCGTCACTGCCAAAGAATAAATTTAAAAGGTCCCTAACAAATTTTGCCTCTGCAGCGGCCCCAAGGAGCCTACTCTTAACGAAATCTGCAGGAGGGGTCTTTTACATGCACAGGGCGTGACATGTTCCTGTACATGGGGCCTCGGATTTAACGTCCCCATCCGACGGACTCCAGAACATAAAAGGGCTGGACAACACAATAAAACACAAAGAGTACATTATCTATACAATCAAACTCTTGTTGACTTTATTTAACGAAACAAAATGAATGTCAGTACACTGTAAACTGTCTATATTGATTCAGCTGGCACTTTCTTCTCAATGATTCTGATCTTTTTGCCATTTTCTTCATAATCAGTTATTATTTTGATGTACTTGGTCACTAGTCTTGGTTCCTTTGCAGACTGCTCCTTTGCACCAACCGTTTCCATTCCCCTTATAGTGTGAATCTTAGGTGTATTCACTAACTGAGGGGCCAAAGTCTTTGCCAATTTCTGCCTAAGATCCTGTACTTTTCCTCTTGGCGTGTGCACCGGAGTTGGTCTCGTAACCTTTCTTATTATTCGTCCAATCTCCACAGTTGAAGTTGTTGGCTTATCAGCCATATTAGCCGCCTCCGGAGTCCCTGGATCCCTAACTTTGTCAACACTAATCTCAACAATATCTTCATCACTTGAAATGTCCTCAAATAGACTTTTTGAATTGTCCACTTCCTCTTTGCCGTTATCTTCTTCCGAGCTTGAAGACTCACTATTATTATCAACCTTATCGGGGTCCTTCTGATCTATCTTGTTGTGGTCTTTGTCAATTCTCTTTTCTTCTGAAGATTGAGTCACATTGTTATTATTATTGTCAGCCTTATCGTTATTCTCGATTTCCGTACCTTCTTTTCCGGGTTCAGCTGAGCAAGGAATGTTCTTGATATGCTTATTAAGATATACCCGTTTGGTGGTGTTATACGAGCACAAGTCACAAAATAATCTAGAATCTGTGCATTCAATTATATGCTTGTTTCTTTGTTCTTTGGTCCTAAAGGTAGAAGGGCAGAAAGGACAAAGCATCCGCTCACTAGCGTCAACTTCCATTGAGATAGGAATATTCCCCCTTCTGGGCGTCACTTTTGTCTTTGGCATCTTGAACTGCAATGATAAAGAAAAACACTGATACTAAATTGGCACAAATAAAAATGATGTAACAATAAAAGAGGCAAAATCACATAGCTATTTACAAGTTAAAACATAAACATCTAATCACTGTAATCTTTCATCCAAACGGGTGGCTGTCTCCTTCTTCCACTCCAGTTTGAAAAATTTGAACTTGTTCCTATTTTTCCCAGTGGTACATCCTCTATAGTGTGCTGTTCACCACCCTCAACAGGGACACTCTCAGCATGCTCTAATACCTCAGGCTCTCTTTCTACAATTATCTCATTTGTATCACTTAGAGTTTCGGGTGGTTCTAATGGTTCCACACTCTCTCCCTCAAGTATTTGAGGATTCCGTTTTCGCATACGGTCTACATGAATGATCTGAGTTTTCCCTCTTTGACCACAATTAACTTTATATGTCACATCGGTACACTTCTCGAGTACCTTAAATGGACCTCTCCAATAAGAGGTTAATTTCGATGACAGTCCGACCTTCTTTACCGGAAAATAAACATAGGCTTCGTCATCTTTCCGAAAATCCTGCCATGACAGTTTCAAATCATGATACCTCTTCTGCCTTAACATGGAAGATTTGGTATTTTGTCTTACTTTCTCATGGGCTTCTTCCATACGTTCTTTCAACTCCAACGCCCATTGATTACTTAGAAAACTCTGTACATCAACAGGAATCTCATACATCAAGTCAATTGGCGTAGAAACTTCCCTACCCAACATGAGATAGTTTGGAGTAAAACCAGTGGTCTCATGTTCTGCACTTCGATACGCCATCATCACATAAGGAAGGTGTTTGTCCCAATCTTTGTGATGGTCGTTCACATATGCACTAAGCATGGTCTCCAATGTTTTATTGAAGCGCTCAACTTGTCCGTCCGACTGAGGATGATAAGATGTTGTTCTTGTTTTCTTGATATTTAACAAACGACACATTTCACTGAATAAATTGCTCTCAAATTGTCGTCCTTGATCTGAGTGTAGGTATGATGGGACGCCAAACCGTGCCACTACCTGTTCAACAATTAGTTTTGCCACGGTTACGGCTTCCATGTTCGGCATGGCGAAACTTTCAGTCCACTTAGAAAAATAGTCTGAGACTACCAGAATATACCGGTTGCCGTTATCCGTTTCTGGAAGTTCTCCCAAAATATCAGCAGCAATTCGTTCCATTGGATGACAACTTTGAACCAATTGCATGGGAGCTTTATTGGTTCGGCAAGGATTTTTCCTTCGGTTACAAAATTCGCATCCTATAATGTATCTACGAACATCAGCTTGTAATCCAGGCCAGTAATACTTCTGACGAATTCTCTCAATTGTCTTTCGAACTCCCAAATGTGCAGAAGTTTTATTATCATGGCACTGAAAGAGTACATTTCTCCTCTCATTATATGGCACTATCGCTTGTAACCGATTTTTCGATTTGTCAGAGGTTTCAAATCGTCGGTAAAGTATACCTTCAATAATTTCGAGAATATCCCATTGAGACCACAAACATCTTACAGACAAACTCCTTCCCGATATCTCTAAGAATTGGGGTCTCTTCTTATTCAGAAAAGACTCTTTAATAAATTGAATGTCTTTATCGTTTTCTTGCAATTCCTTCAAAGTAAGTTGTTCGACTTGCGAAAGCTCATTAGAGAGATTATCATTGACTGCTCGGACGATGCCCTTTTCGTTTTGCAATTTCTTTTCCCAATTAGTGTTGTATCCACATTGTTTACATGGTATCCGACTTAAAGCATCAGCATTATTATGTCTTTGGCCGGGTCGATGGACAATTTCAAAATCAAACTCACTCAAAACCTCAAGCCACCGAGCAATTTGACCCTCTGGATTCTTGAACTGCATGAGCCAGCGAAGGGAACCATGGTCAGTACGGACAGTAAACTTTTTCCCATAAAGATAATGTTTAAAGTGTTTCACAAAATAAACCACAGCCAAAAGTTCTTTTCTTGTCACACAATAGTGTCTTTCGGCTTTATTCAATGTTCTACTTGCATAGCCAATGACGACTTCTTTTCCATCTTCACCAACTTGAGAAAGTACAGAACCGATAGCTTGGTTACTGGCGTCAGTATCAAGTATAAATGGACGTGAAAAATCGGGATGCCCTAGAATAGGTGCACTGGTCAATTTAATCTTAAGGAATTTAAACGCATCTTCGCATTCTTGTTTCCAAACAAAATCCCTACCTTTCTCAGTCAATCTGTGAAGACATTTAGCCACAGCTGAAAAATCTTTTATGTATCTCCGATAATAGCCACATAACCCTAGAAAGGATCTTAATTCAGAAACATTTAATGGCGTTGGCCAATTCTTGATAGCCTCTATTTTTGAAGGGTCCGTGGCAATCCCAGTTTCAGAAATGACATGTCCTAAGAAAAGAACTTCTTTTACACACAAGCAACACTTTTTGGCTTTCAATTTCAGACCAGCCTTTTGAAGGCGTCCAAACACCTTTTCCAGGTTCTGAATCATGCCGCTGAATGTTTTTCCCATAACTATGATATCATCTAAATATATCAAGCAAATATCCCATTGTAGTCCAGCAAGCACTGTCTCCATTAGCCGCTCAAACGTGCTGGGTGCACAACATAATCCAAACGGCATTGTTTTAAACTGAAACAAACCTTTCCTGGTTGCAAAGGCTGTCTTGTAACGATCTGCTGGGTCTAACTCTACCTGCCAATAACCACTACACAAATCAAGAGTGGAAAACCAAGCATTCCCTGAGAGTTGTTCCAGAGAATCGTCGATCCTTGGGAGCGGATATGCATCCTTTACGGTTACCTTATTAAGTCGTCTATAGTCAACACAAAATCGATATGTCCCGTCCTTCTTCTTGACAAGCACCACTCCTGATGCCCAAGGACTATTGGATGGCTCAACTACATCCTTCTCTAGCATTTCATCAATATTTTTGTCTAATTCACATTGTAGATGTACCGGCGTACGCCTGGGTGGCTCTTTAAAAGCAGGCGCATCTCCTGTATTTATTTTGTGTTTGATAAGGGTAGTTCTTCCAAGATCTTTATCAGTCTCGGCAAATGATTCTTTATATCTAAGAATTAGTTCTCGTAGCTGTCTTTCTTGGTCACTATTGAGGTGTTTACTTGATTTTTCCAGCAAGTTCTGTAAATCTGGCCTGAGAGAAATTTCCGGATCTGAATTATGTTGCTTCTGATCTGAAATACTTATGACTTCATGCACTTGTCCTATACTTGTCCCTTTGTGAATAACTTGCACTTCCTTGCACAAATTCATAAGTCTGATAGGCACTTGATCATCGGTATTTACCAGTGTTCGAGCAACTAATGGTCCATCCTGTTCCAGTTTGTTCTCCAAAGGTTCTACTATCCCTTCGAAGTGTTTCATTGTTTGTCCCTTCGGTACGCATACTACACAAGAAATAACCATTTCACTTACAGGTGGCATACTAATCGTTTCTGACGCGACAATTCTATAACATCCAAGCTTACCCTCAAATTGAACAGGATAGTCTTTCCCACTAACAATCAATTTCTTTGCTACCACATCAATAACACAATCATTGTCTTTGAGAAAATCTAACCCAAGAATACCATCGGCGCGAATATCAGCTACAACAGCCTCTAACCGAAAGAAAGTATCCCCGATTCTCACATTGAATGTTCCTTTCCCTTTCACAGATAAGAGACCTCCATTTGCCGAGGTTATTTGTTTGTTGCACTCTTCAAGAATAGGCTTTCTATTTAACTGGTAATAGAAACTAGAAGAAATAATTGAAAGAGTCGCTCCTGTATCAACTAGAAACTTTGCATCTTTATTATTCATATGCACTTCAATGTACATTCCAGCCTCGTCAACTATAGATACGTTTGGTTTTCTGCCATTATTCATTCTACGAATGACCCTAGACGATCCGTTGTCATTTGATCGAGGGGTTTGGTATCTATCCCCTCGTCCACGTCTATTATATCCACCACCTCGGCCTCTATGGAATGAATTGTCGTGTGGTTTTCGTTGTGGGCATTCTCTCACAAAGTGACCACTTTTACCACAATTGTAACATTTCTTGTCATTTGTGAGATTTCCCCGCGAGCGTTCTCCATCTTTTAACTTACCCATTTCAATTGTAAGTTCCTTAATCATATTTTGAATTGATTGCATGCCCTGCTCTAGTTTTTCTACAGCAGCATTTGTATCTGGGGCTGCAACAGGGATGAACTCATTCCCCTCTTCTTTACTATTATAATCGGCGGATCGCAAATAACCACGATGAGCTCTGTTTGATTCTTCGGCTTTATTGAAAGCTTCTAATTCTACAGATAGTTTAACTGCTTCATCTAGACTTTTGGGTCTTGATTGTTTTATTTTTAATCTCATATCAGAGTCGTACAAGGAATCTATGAACTGCTCTAGAGCAAGCGTTTCACGTACGTCCCTAGGTGCCGTTGGATATGCTAAGTTTGAGAGCCTTCGAAACACTTGGCCTAATTCAGGCAAAGACTCTGTTGCCTTTTTTCTACGCTCCCGAAACTGAACCCTGTATAGTTCCGTTTGACTTGGTGGTGCAAACCTTTCTTCCAATGCAACCACAAGACTATCATAATCACTTCGAACTTCTGTTGATAAATCACCTAATATTCCTTGTGCTTGGCCACGTAATGACACTGCTAAGTACAAACCCATTTGTTCATGTGACCAATCATTGACTTTTGAAACCATATCAAAATGAGATTTATAATCGATCCAAGAATTACCCCCATCATACGTAGCGGGTTTAATTTTAACACCTTGGTTAGGATTTTTCATTTCACTAGAATTGTGCCTTGTAGTCTTTTGTTTCTCCTCTACTAGAATACCCCAATTCGGATTTCTCGAATTACTAAGTGGCATATTTGTACTCAGGGGCTGACTAATATGACCTGGCTTGTCACCAGAGTTTCTATCTAAACTATTACTATAAGGGAGAGTTTCTGAATTTGTTGAAATACCATTTTCTGATGTGACCTTAGACCTTGCACCAAATATGACTGTGTGCCCCGCTTCAACAGATCTCAATGGGTTTGTTTGTATGGCTGTTTCAACCCCAGAATCACTTTCCTGTGCATTAGTACCAATTTTAGGTGTTGAATGCATAAAACTTTTTCTTTCTTTTAAACTATTTTCAAGGTGTTCAATGGCTGATGTTATATTTCCTATTTCACTATTTAAATCAGACATGTTTAATAAATTTACTCACCAGCTTTATAACTCTTTCGGTCTTTAAACTGTTGACACACAACGTAGTCTCTCTAACTACAAAACACAATCAAATTATATATAGTATAGCAATGATATTAAACGAACACAAAAATCACAAAACACAATTCAAATGAAAGATATATTTCTGAAGAATTTAGAATCCCACCGCTGCCACCAATTTGTAACGTGTAAACCCGAGCGATCAAATGGTTTCGTACCGAAATAGACAAATTCTAGTTTCCAAAGTGTATCCCGAAATATCAATCAGAATCGTTATTTGCAAGTCACTCCAATATTAAACAATGATAACCAAAACACATATATATAACTATGACACAAGAAACACTTGCAAGCGCACTATAAAACGGTTGACTTATACCACAGCCAAGTAGAATTTAGATAACAAACACACTTTTCAAATATATCTTTGCACAGCACAATGAAAGAAAAACAAGTCAAACGGCACTGTCAATCTGCACAGCACAATGGAACAAAACAAGTCAACGGCACTATCAATTTGCACTATCTGTCAAATAGATCACTAGGTAGCAAAATGAACACAATAGCCTATAATCACTTTAATACAACAATAACAGAATACTCCAACTTTGCGAAATGAATTATTTATACTATACACTATTCAAATCAATTAACCCAACTATACCAAATAAAGTAGCAAATTGAACACTATATATTTTCACTGTCAAATAGCTATCACTTATTTATTCCCTGGATATATTATTAGAATTCCGAATCTTAGAATTATTACTAATAATCCACACTTCACTTGGAATTCACTATTTTAATCCAAAGAACAAACTATACTCACTATTCACTATATATAAATATATCCGTAAAGAATGGTCTATACACTGACACTGAACTGCTCTCTCTGCGGTCTTATATACTACCTAAATGGACGAGTCCAAGTCCCAATTTAAGGGTTGTCAAGAAGGTATACTTATCACATGACTGTTAACAAGTCTATTATCAATAAAAGGGGTGTTTCAGTACTTAACAAAGTGTGCTCCTTATTTAGGAGGAACTAAATGTAACAAATGAACAGTTTGGCATGCTTTAACCCTTTTCACTCCCCGGAATTATTGTATACCATAACAAAACAGGTATTTTCGTTACAATAATATTCATTACTGAGCAACACACACCCCACTAAAAACCAGTGATTTTTTTCTCGAAGAGTAAACAGGCCCTGCTCTACGTGTAAAACCCGCCATAATACTCAAAGGAAAGTAAGATATTCGATGATAAGTCACATTATGTTTAGAGAGTAGGTGGCATACTGGTTAGGATAAGAAATTTAACCTTCTAAATTTCACTTACAAATGTACCAACAAATCTGAAGGGATATTTAAAAGTTGTGCCTTGGATTAGAACACAACTGTTTCCGTGCACATGTCATTTTTTCAGTTCGACTGAAAAGCTCATAAAGCAGTACTTATATGCCTTAGCAAAAAAGGGGAAACTGTAAGAGTGACTAAGGTAATTGAGGCAGAAAAAAGTAGCAATATTGTTAACCATCATCTCGAAAATACAGAGCTTTGTCATTAATATTTATGTAATAGGCGGAAACATTGCAAAATTTACTGCACATTTCTCTGTTCCATCATAAAAATGCATACTTGACAAGGAATCTTATTAACAGAATCTTCAATTAGCGTGTTTACGGCATGTTTATACCAGATTCTCATTTAGAAAATGTGATATGCACATGTGATCGATACATTTATCAGTTCTTAAATTATTAAATATATAAGACATTAATCGAAATAAGGATAGCCATTATTTTGACGTAAAGTTAATTGGAACATCAAAGGAAATAACAATTCCATTAACAATGTTTGAAAGCCATTGAAATGTAATAGAATTATTACTGTACGTTTTGGGGATTTTTATTGTGTAATTATTATCAAAATGACTTTAAATCACTGCTTTCAAGCTGCATGGCAATCTATTATATGATGTAAGACTAAACAAACATTTTTCATCTTGGATATGTAAATTATCCATCTAGAGCACTGGGTCATTAAATATGTCACCGATTTCATCTTGCTCCGAGCTGAGCATGAAATCTGATACGCATTCAAAAGAGGCTTATCCACAAGGATGCTATTAAACCAAGAGTTCCAAATGGTGAAGTTGAAATCATCCCTTCGTAAATTTTACGGACGCCATTACGAGTTGGTTGACCGTTATGGAATAACCGTTTCACAGATGATATCGGATTATTCCTTATGCCGTAACTACAATACCCTTCCCTTTTTACGAATGTGACCTACCGAATTAGACTATTTACCGGATTTGTAATAACATAAGCAACACGACGGGAGCTACATGTGGAGCAGGATCTGCTTACCCTTCCGGAGCATCTGAGATCACCCCCAGTTTTTGGTGGGGTTCGTGTTGCTTAGTCTTTAGTTTTCTATGTTGTGTCATCTGTACTATTATTTGTTTGTTTGTCTTTTTATTTTTGGCCATGGCGTTGTCAGTTTGTTTTCGATCTATGAGTTTGACTGTCCCTCTGGTATCTTTCGTCCCTTTTTTTTAACTTTCGTGTTTTATTGCCGAAGTTTACCGAACGTGACCTTAATAAACAATTAACACAGAATCGTGGAGCACGTGAAAAATAAGTGAGATGATTGACATGCAAAAGTGCGATGCTTTTATATTTTACATGTCTTTCTATTTCTTAACTTTACTTTCTCCTAACAGTTGTTAAACGCTTTGGTGTATTTAATCTTTTCTTTCAGAATCAATTAACACCATCTCACTTCCACGTGTTGCGGTTGCCAAAGTACTATCGAGAGGTGTCGTGTTTAAGGTCACTGCATATGAAAAACCTAACTGGGACTAAGCGTACGAGACGACAATAATTCAATAGCATTTCTGAAGATTTTGATATGATAAAGGATTTTCTTTTAAAAGAAAGTCCATGGACACGTGTTTTATAGTAAAACTTAGCCATTCAAGTATATAAAACATATTCAACTTCTTTTTAAATTAGAAGTATCATATGACTTTAATACGGGCTGGATTGTGTGTTATATTTTAAAAAGAGAAAATCTAAATTGTTGTATTTTCCCTTTAATTGGTATTTTAAGAAATTATAAATATATTTTTTTCACTATAATTTCTGTATATACAATCTTGTTTCCTCAACAGGGACAATGATTGTTCTTCAGTTGGTTATCTCATGTAGATTTTACAGTAGACGTATCCTGAGTTCCACCTATTTTACCTCTGATCAAGATAAACAAAGGGAAAAGGCGAAGATGGAGAGAAGTTATTAAAACTGTCAACATTAAATGATTACTACCGAAGCTTAAACTAGTAATGTTTACTGTTTCATGTTGATATTTGTCGTTTGTATCATTCTGGATCTTCGATTATTTTGTATCACTTAAGCATTTTTTATGTCACAAAGATCTTACTATGTAGAGTCAATGACATTGTTGACAGCTATTCGATGTCAATTACAAATCTCAATCAAGTAATAAAACTATGTATCAATGTTCAAACAACTTTCGAACACAATTACATATTCTCATAATCTTATAACTATAACGGTCAATTAAATGCGAACATTTAGTTATCAGGCATATTCATAATGCTATAGTATAAATGTCAAGCCATTGCATGTAGTACAAATTGTACCATTAACGCCGTCATTATCTCTACTCTTTGAAAATTTGCTTTTGTAATTGAATAATTTTCTCTGTATGCGTGAAATTAATTCAATTAAAATGTCTTTCTTTACAGATTTATTAAAATTACGGAAAATCTTTCAAGGCAAATGACATTAAATAACCGATGCAAGAAAATAATAAATTTTAGCATTCTATAATTTGCTAGGCTTGTAACAAAAGAAATTTAATGGTTGGTTCCTTGTCATTGTTGTTGATAAACTTGTAGAATTAAAATGCAAACATATGGAATCTGTTTCTGACATTTTACAATCATGGTTAAGTATTTATAAGAGTACGTGTTGTCGTTTCAGAGTCTTTCTGATTATTACATTGAATATCTGCATATAACGAAAGGTGTAAATTAAATATTCAAAGCAACGGACTAAATGAATCAGTTTTATCATCTACAATAGATATGTAAATTGGCTAAAGAAAAATAGATATCACACACAAGAGTTTGATTTTTAACGCATTCAGAATGTTTTATCTTACTTTTAAATGCTGAGTGGTTAGAAGAGACATCAAATAACCACTGTAATGGCTTAACATGTAACTTGAATCGAACGAGGTTTGAACCTTTTATAGTTTAGACAAGCTTGCTACCACTGAAGCTTATGACCCGAAGTCGAAAATTCGAAAGATTTTTCGAATCTATCATTCTGATAATATTTATCAAAGCTTTCAAACAGATTCCTCTTCAAACATGTGTACATGAATCTCAAATGGGGATAAAGAGTATGCGAACGTCTGCCAATTTTATAAAAATAAGAAGGTGTGGTGTGATTCCCAATGAGACAAATATCCATAAAAGTTCAAATGAAGTGGATGTAAGAAATTATTGGCAACCGTACGGCCTTCAACAATGGGAAAAATCTATACCGTATAGTCGACTATGAAAGGCCCCGGTATGAAAAATATTAAACAATATTGAGAAAACTAACGGCCAGAAGTTGTCAATCTTTAGGTTGTAATTAGTTTTAAAAATTTTCTGTTTCAGTTTCTGGATGGATTTTATCTTCAGATCAGGCAATAGCTTACTGTGTATCGAACTACTTGTTTTCGTCTGTATTTGTGAAACAAAAAAAGCCACTTGCATATTTTCGCACAGGCAATACTATTTTTCAGTGGTGGAAGTGCGTTTTATACAAAATCCAATGTATGTAGTTTTCAATTAGATTCAATACATCACTGAACAGCAATTAGGCAATTAAACAAATAAAGTCTGAACTTTAAATGAAGATAAAATCATAATATCTGAATTATTGCAAGCTTCTTTAAACTGATACAAATTAAAGAACCTTAGTGATCACGCTCACATACCCCACGTCCCCACATTGTCAGTGGA